TTTTTTGCGGAACTGGGGATTGAACTCAGAATTTTTTTAAAAATGAAATAAAATAAAACAAGTACCTCAGAGATTGGGGGGTGTTGCTCCACGGGAGTGCACTTGTCTAGCATGCACGAGTCTAGGTTCCATTACCAGCACCATAATAAGAAAGTGAGGGAGACAGAGACAGAGACAGTGACAGAAGATGACAGACAGAAAAGAAAGAGAAAGAAAGGAAGACAGATAGACAGACAGATACAGACAAAGGAGATAAGCTGGGCCTGGTGATGCATGCTTATAACCCCAGCACTCAGGAGGCTGAGGAAGGAGGATTGCTTGGAGTTCAAGGCTAGCCTAGTAGGCTACAGAGTGTTCAAGGCTAGCCTGAGCAAACCCTGCCTAAAAACAAACAACAACAAACTTAAAAAAGATTTAAAAAAAAAAAAAAAAGAGTATATAGCACAGGTGATTGCTATCTCAGAACCACACTCCGGGAAACACTGAGCTAGAATGTACCCACTACCAAAGTTTCAGCTGATCATCTTCTTCACCTCCTATCACTAAAGCTATCAATCATACTCTCCTTCAGTGGACTGAAATTCCATGGGATTGCAAAGGTATCCCTCAAAAGACAGACCTGATATCCAGAAATTTAAACCTAAAACTTAGTGAACCACAAACTTGCAGAAATGGCAGAGAAACTGAACAGTAAGCACATGCCTATAGTCTCAACTACTGGGGAAACTGGGGCAAAAAGCCTGATTAAGCTTAGGAGTTCCAGGTCAGCCTGGGCAACACAGACTTTGTGAGAGCAATGAAGGAAAGAAAGGGGGGGGGGAGAGAGAGAGAGAGAGAGAGAGAGAGAGAGAGAGAGAGAGAGAGAGAGAGAACGAGAACACGAAAAAGAAAACGACAGTGTCCAAACCTCCATCTTCAGGCATTTACACAATGACCAAATCTTTCCTCTATTCTACTACCCCGACTACTTCTTCAGTCACTCCTACTTGAACAGCAAGGACCTCAAAGTTCCCACAGTGGCCAGTCTTCAGACAGCTCAATGTGTTCACATATTTTTTCTTATACTGAATTTTTAAAATTGTCTACTTTTTATTTTTAGTTACTTGTCTAAGTCTAGTTTTCTCAAGGCTAGCCTTTGTCTACTATAGGCATTCAAATATTTGAAGACAGCTGCCATGATGGTGTGCTATCTTCTTTTTATGGATATTTAAGAACACAAGGAAACTGAAGACAAATAGTTGAATATTATTTTTCAAACCTGACCAAATACCCAGGTGTAACAATCAACTTGAATAGTGCCAGCTGTGTTCCTACATTATCTAAATCACTAAGGTCAGAGGTGGCTTACCATGCTACTAGAACCATCAACATTAACAGACAGTCAGTAATGACATAAGTTAATCTGGCAAATTCTAAAACATTTTCCAAAAATCTACAGGTAAAATTTTTAAATCTAATGGTAATTCACTGAGAATAAAAGGTTGTACTAATATTGTTTAGACATATCATGTCTGCATCTTGCCCTCTGACAAACTACTACAAAGACAATATGCAATGTATTAATTACTGTAAACATCCTACTGTGTTTTGAAACTTTCATTACTACTTTATTTTTTCTCACTAAAATGAATAAAAATTATAAAAAATAAATTTAATGGTAATGAGTCAATGATTTTGATCTAATGCAAACGCTATGTCTTTAACATGATACTGGAACACTGGGGCCATAATATAAAGATAATTATAAAGGAATAGTTGATGGAAAATTGCTCCCACAGGATGAAACACAGCAAGATGATGAATCTTAAGATTCATTCATGTGGTGAGACTAAATTCAACCAACATTACCAATTTTAACTCAAGATCTTGAAACCATGGAAAATTAAAAAAAAAAGATTAAAACATGGGCCCATCCCTAATGATCGTGTAATCCAGCCAGACAGGAAACAGGTACTTTGTACATTAAGACTGGTCTACCTCACCAAATAATCATAATGGAAACAGCTAGACACAGAAAAAAGCTCTAGTTGTTTTGTTTTATTTGAGACAGAATCTCACTGTATAGACTGACTGGCCTTGAACTCACTGTAGCCCAGGCAAAACTCCTTCATTAGCCTCCCTAATGCTGGGATTAAAGGCATGCATCACATGCCTTGCTAAAATTTTAATCTAGTTTTAAATGGTAACTATTTCACATAGGCAACAGCATCTGTTAGATTAATTATAACAACACTGTCACCAGAATTGGAGTATGTGTGAAATTACACCATGAAATGTCCTATTAACTTGACACTGTCAAAAATCATTTTATTCATCTGTTCTAGCCCTCTGGCAGATTTTGTCCTATGTAATACTCAAAAGACCTTTACGAAAGATTTCATCTTATGAGTCCTGTATCTCTAAATCAGTTTTAAGAGAGTTCAATAAACATGTTAAATAAATGAATAAAGTATTCTACATTTAAGGAAAAACAAATTAAACATTTGTCAAGTGCAAAAAAGTGTAACTACACAGAAACAAACAAATATTTAAGTGATTATTTAATCTACCTACAAATTTCCAATTATCTAAATATATTTAAGATGCATATACTACAAGCAAAGCCAACCCTAAAGATGGTAGAAAACATACCCCATAAGAGGGCACTATTGAGCTACATTTTCCCAATAAAAATATAAAGAACAGCTAATAATTGTTTGCTATGAGCCAAGCACTAAGTACTCTGAATATACAAACTAAATTACTCCTCCTTAGTTATGAGGTCAACACTACTGTAATTTTCATTATTTGTCTACCCCTGAGCATTTATAACCCCTGTAATCCCTATTACTGATGAGGAAACTGGGACATAGATATTTTGTTAAGTCACTTCCCTGAGGTTCCCCATCAATAAGTAGTTGGATGTAGGATGCAACTTGTAGTTTGGGTCTGAAATCTGTCCTTACAATCACTATACTAGACTACTACATCCATGGTAGTTATTTACCTTTATTCTTACATGATTAATCATATTAGTTGGAGTCAAACTGAAAACATCTCTTCATATATTTAAAAAACCAATTATCATAAACTTCTACTTTGTATATCCATTTTTAACTGAAAAATACATCTAAATTATCCAAGAGTACAATAAATTTGTAAAATGGCAGGTATCCTATTATACCCAGAGTTTATTTTTATTTTTATTTTTATCTTATCTATTTATTTATTGCAGTAGTAAGAATACAAACTCAGGGCCTTGCAAGTGCCTGGCAGGTGCTTATGTCGCTGAGCTATATCCCTGGCCCCTCAGAGTTTATTTTATAAGAAGTGCTAATATTAATTTTAATGAAATATAAAATGTAAATGAATAGGCACATCAAAAGGGCAGAATTCAAAGTTAAATTTACTACGCTTTTTACACATAAATTAAAAATTAATAATGATATTATCGTATAAACATTAAATCCCATTACAAATTTGACTATTACCTCCTAAAGTGACATTTCCATGTAGAAATCGTCCTTGATAAATAAGTCGTAGAATATTTGGGCTGCTGACCTGCTCCTCTTCCCAGTCTGAAAAGATTTCAGGGAACTGATTAGGTGCATTTCAACACATAACTAAGGGGCCCGCAAGATAGCTCAATGGTCTAAAGTGATTGCTTAGACAAACACAGGGACCAGTTTTATCCCCGAACCATAAGTTGTACCAGGCCCGCCCCCCACGGCGGGCTGAGCCCACGGCAAAAACAAAAAACAAAAAACACATAATAAAGGCCCTATGACACTGTATTAAAAATTTGAACCCAAATCTGTCCTACAGCTGTAGGGCATCATCACAGCTCATACATTCACTGCAGCCTTTCTGACTCCTGTTATTAAATACCAAGAGACACACAAAAGACTAGCTTTTGTTTCTTAAAGAATACTAAAGAGTGCCAAAATACAGGCCGACAGTGTAAACAACTACAACAAAAGAGTTGGACAAAATCTAATCATAGTAAAGAGATATATTTCAAAATTAGTTTCAATTACCAGTAATTAGCAGCCAATATTTGTAACTGTTAAGATGTATATGCAAAGGCTAGAAACAAGCTGAACAACGATTTTATTAATCTGTCAGATAATAGTGATATATTATCTTTTTTAGGTCAACTGGCAAACAATATAGCAGATAAACTTGGTATCAACTTATCCACAATAAATGCCCAGAAGAAGCCTCCAAACTAACCCAATATATATTAGAAGTGTGACATATGAACACTAGGAACACAAAAAAGCAAAGACAATCTGGAAACAGCTTTGACATTAGTATCAACAAGTATTTACATTTTCTGAACTTACATGACAAATATAGACCTTTGCATATTGAAATATTTTACAGTATATAAAATACAAATAATTTCTGTGGTGTCTAAATTTGCTGAGCAGATTTAGCAAACTGAGGAAAGAGTGGGCATTATTTTTTTTTTTTAGACAAGTAACATCTAATTGACGCAATCAGTTTTCAATACTGACATATGATCATTCACTTGGGATATTTTCTAATGGCAAAGACGTACTATACTTGATTCTTTTATCATTACTCAACAATTAAACTGATTTTAATAACTGAATGAAATAGTTAATAAAATAAAAGTATTTCTTCTACCTCAATTTGTACTATAGCTCAAATAAAATTTTTGAGAGGGGGTTACCCTTGTCTTACATTTTCTTTTCCATGACATGTCAGAAGCAATTCTTAAGCCCCTCCCCGCAAAAAAACTTGTAAAAGTAATCTTTTGTATTATCTCTAGCACAAAATTACTCAGGTGTTTAAAAATGCTTTTATACTAATCATTATCTATCCTGCCTGCCTATAAGGAAAAACCCAGTGTTGTTAAAGCCCCAAGCCTTTCTGCAATTCCTTTTTAGCAGTGACTTTTAATTTCAGTTCCTCCCTCATTTAGGAACTGGCTTTTGGTTACCAACAGGAAAAAAAGAAAAAAAAAACAACAAACAAAAAAACCCCCAGCAATTCAAATTACTTGCCTAAATTAGTATTTCTCAAATTCAGGCCTATGAGTCTGCAAAGACACGTTCTTACGGTCTGAGGAGCCCTATTTGAGAACTTTCAAACTGTTTTCATTTTGATGATTTGGAAGTGATCTCTAGTTTAAAATAACTACTTGATCATTAAGAGTAGCCTTGGGATTTTAGTGCCCATGTATGCACTAGGTTTAAGACAATAATGATGCCAACCAGTCAGTACTTCTTTAATTGATGAGATTAATAAAAAAAAGAACAGGAGCTGACTTGATACTGAAATAATACAATTTCTCTTAAAAGAAGCTGGATGACAATGGTGCAGTATATAAATAAAGACTGTGTGGCAACTGCAGATGACTGGGTCACCATACACCATGCAGGAACACAGGCATTCATGACACAGCAGTAAGGTAGTGACTTTAGCAAAAATACACCATCTAGCACACCACTACTTTAATGTGAACACTCTAAGTTTTAGAGTTACATTTGCATTTTCTTTATGGATCTATTTTAATTTTATGGTTTTTATGAATTAACAAGGATAATTTTAATGGGACTTTATGTTTCTATATTTTAAAATGTATATCATAATGAAGTACTGGGGGTTGCCTCTAAAAATGATTCCTGTGTTATGGTTGAGAAATTCATTTTGCATACATTGTATTCTTTGTTGAAATAAGTCCTGTCCTTTAAAATTCAAATTGGTTCTGCAAATAAAACTGCATGAAATCAGCTGGAACAGTCTGACCCTTGCTACCGATGCCACAAAAATGCACAGTAAAAGGGTCACAATGACACCCAAGGGAGCACAGCAAAAGGAGGCAAGACAAGAGTTTTATTAGACACAAATAAGTAGAAAAAGGAAGGAATATCAAACATACCCTGCTCCAAAGTCTTGGTCTTTCTTGACCTTGTTAAGGAACATATGAAGTGGCATGAATTCAAATTTACCTTTATTTCAGACTTAATTTTAAGCATGCTATGTATAGAATAGACCAAAGAAATTTTTACAATATGTTAAAGATAGTTTTCCTTTTCTTTTTGGTAAAAATAAGTTTAATGGTAATGAAAGTATTATGAATGTTAACTTACTTTTTCTTTTAAAAGTATTTTTTGTCTACACTAACAATTCTAAAGCAAGAACAATGACTTTGCATACTGAGCTTCTTTACTATTTTGGAATGAGAAAAACTGCAAAATCTAACATCAAGCATTATACCCTCAGTTATTTTTGTGTTTTCATTTTATAGGCTTATAACTTCTTCAGATTATTTTTGTGAAACAAGGTAAGGCACAGAAAATTAACACCATTCATCCTTGAGAGAAAAATACCACTCACCCATTGGCCAATTGTCATACACATGCTTGGCGATGTCAGAAGCAGAATCATTAGGAGAAAACAGGAACTCCTTTGTTTTTCCACTCACCAAGATGAGGCGCAAATTTATCTGGAAGACAAGGATTTTAACATAAATCCTAAATATTTTAAACACAGAGCTTACATCAACTTTTCATTTCAGTAACACTCTAAGTTATTATTAGTGCCACACTGTGGTTATTTACTCCAAGTTAATCAAGCTTTAAAAAAAGCGGTAATTTGGCATATGATTTTATTTCCTATTATTCAAGTGTATCTTTCCTTTTCATTACCAATATATTTTTGTATAAAAATATTAGAAAATCTTTAAGATGCTAGAGTATACAATGAATAAGCTGCTATCTACCATAATACCAGCAAGACAATTATATAATTACTGTATCTTATTTGGTTTTGGTGGTACTGGAGATTGAACTCTCAACCTTGTTACTTGTCAGGAAGGTGCTGTGCCACATATATTCCCAGATCCCTGTTTTTTTGGTGTTTTTCCTTTTTTTTTTTTTTTTTTTTTTGAGACAGGGTCTTGCTAATAGCTCTGGCTAGCCTTGAACTCACTCTGTAGCCAAGGCTGGCCTTGAACTTGCAGTATTCCTCCTTGCTTGGCCTCTCAAATGTTGGGATTACAGGTGTGTGCCACCATACTTGACATGATACCAAGATACCAAAACACTTAACCATAATCACAGCTGATACCAACCTTAGCTTCTCACCATCAAGATGAAGCCCTAATTCCTAAAGTGATTATATGTGAAGACAGGGTCACTTAGGAGGTAACTAAAGTTAAATGAAGTCCTAAGGGAGAGGCTCTAATCAAAAGGGCTGTGGTCTTCTAAGAAGGAAAAGAACACTTGTGTACTCATTGGCAAGCGCCCCAGAGTAGGAGGTCCTCACCAAAACTTTACCATATTGGTACCCCAATCTCAGGCTTTCAGCTTCCAGAACTGTGAGAAATAAACTCTTGTTGGTGGAGCCACGCAGGCTATAATAGTGTTACGAAAACCTGAGCACCCACTCACAAGAAAGAAAAATATAAAACCAGAAATGTGAGGCTACCTTTAGGAAATAAAGCTGGTTTTTATAAAATAGAGATTATGAACCAAATTACTAGGATCTAAAAACATCATTTACTACAGTATAATACAGAATATTCAGGGATTGCTAAACAAACTTCATCGATAAGGCTCAAAAAGGTATAAAGCAAGACTAAGTCTATTCTTTTTCATATTAACCATTAAATTTTTCTATTTTGTTTTTCTGTCACTCAACTTAAAAAAAAATGAGGATTTTTTTCTACCAAGGTCTCAGAATTTTACGATTTTAAAACTGGCACACAGGCTGGGCATGTAGTATACCCCTGCAATTCCAACACTCTGGGTGGTTGAGGCAGATAGATTACAAATTCAAGCCCAACCTGGGCAACTTATTGAGACTGTGTCTCAGTATAAGAAATAAACAGATAAAAATAAAAAGATGGGGCTAGGGAGATAGCTTGGAGCTCTAAGTGCCTGCCTGGCAGGTACAAGGACCCAGGTTTGATCCCTGCTACTGCATGCTGAGCCGGCCCCTGGAATGAGGCGTGGTGGTGTATGCCTGTAATCCCTGCTCTTTGGGAGACTGAACACAGGTAGATCACTACAAGTCCGATCTACGTAGTGAGACCAGATAGATCCTTACTAAAGAAATACCAAAAATAAATAAATATTTGTTGTTTAATGTTTATAGGTGGGTATGAACTTTTAGTTTGACACAGACCCCACAACTCTTTCCTTACATAGGCCTGCTTCATATAACTCACAGCAGTTTGAAGATGGCTCATGGCTACAGAATGAAAACAAAAACCAGAGTGAGACTGTAAAGTTGTCTATCCTGAGGGAACTTAAGAATCCCTCTGGGTGGAGAAGGAAAGAATATGATAATCCTAAATCTAAATGTATCAAGTCTTACAGTTAAAAGTATCTAAAACTAACAGTTAAAGGCTGCTTCAGTAAAGAAACTTATGACAAAAATAACAGTATCTCTGAACATTAGGTTTTTGAATAAAGTAACCTACCGCCTGAAAACACTTCCAGTGCCTGGCCCAGCTACCCGCACAGAACTGTTTAACCAGTATTTGCTTACTAACATCTGAGTGTCTCCAGTAGTACAAAATGCTAAATGGAAATGAACATGGAGCTAAAATTCATACCCAGGCTTCAGCATTCCAGGAACAGCATTAATTGAAAGAACAGTGCTGCATATAGAATGGTAGTAAGTAACTTCTTGGTAGCATCGTGGGCGAGTGTAGGTAATTCAAATGAGAAGGACTTTATTGCTTTTAAATCGCTGGGTCCTGGACCTTTAATATCAGTATTTAATTTAAATACTATCACTTAGGAGGGTGTGGGAGAGCTTCCGGCTACCCTGTGCCAACCGGACCTGCTGGTCCAAGCCCAGGCGCAATGTGGGTGAGATCCTCTTCCACCCCCCTTGGGACCCTACCACCACTGCAAAGCACCCTCCCATACCCTTCCTGCTGAGAGAAAATTTCTGCCACATTCTGGGGACCCCGAGATCCAGTCCTAGCCCAGGCCCTGGTGAGTGTGTGGGAGAGCTTCCAGCTACCCTGCACAGGTAGGACCTGCCAGTCCAAGCCCAGGTGCAGTGTGGGTGAGATGCTCTTCCACCCTCTTGGGAACCCCCCACTCTGCAGCACTCCCCCCACCCACCCAGTGAGAATTTCTGCCACATTCTGGAGACTCCAAGATCCAGACCTAGTCCAGGCCCGGTGAGTGTATGGGAGAGCTTCCTCTCCCCTCTACTCCACCTTCTCTCCAGACTCAGCTCAGGCCTGGCATACAGGCCTAGGGTGAAACCCTACAACTGCAATCCCTTCAGAGAGAGTAGGGGGCAGAACCACCCAGCTAGTCCAGAAGCAGAACATCTTGCCAGAGGGGCACATCAGGTTTACTCCCAAGAGCAGCAGCAGGAAGGAGCTGAGCACAGGAACCAGACCCAAGCCAGGTACAACTGGATAAATCCAAACTTTGTAGATCTGCACCTGAATTTCAGTAGTAGGTGCTCAGGTTATAACTGTACCAAAGCTCTACAGCAAAGGTCAGAAGACAGTGCTACACAAAATGATGAGAAGGAGCAAAATACAATCACAGAACCCAAGCGCACCCATAACAAGTACAGAGGACACTAACACGGAACAAATTGGGAATCACACAGCTGAAATCAATGAATCAACAGTTTCTGAAATAAAGAAAAAACTGCAGAAAGGTACAGAGGAACTCAGATTGGAAATGAAAAAAGAAATCCTTCAATTAATAGCATCTGCAGTAAAGAATCAAACACAGAAACATATAAAGGAAACCCAATGCCCACCCAGAACAAGGGCAGAGGACACTAGCTCAGCTCAAATGTATGAATTAATAGCGTTGATAGTAAATAAGCAACAACAGAAGGTTATACAGGAACTCAGAGCAGAATTCTTTTCTCAAATAAAGAATTCTCTGAACTTATAACATATGAAGTAAAGAATCAACTACAGAAACGTAGGGAGGAAACCCATTCTGAAAAAAAAACACTGCAGTAAAAGAATTAATAACTGCTTCTAAAGAAGACATTGATAAAAAAAATACAGGAGATAACAAAAATGACAGATTCCTTGAATGCCTTGAATGAGCAATACAGGAAAGAAATATATCGCATGAACCAGAGTCAAAGAGCTATAAAGGAACTTAAAATCTCAATCACAAGCTTCCAAAACCATTTGAGTGAAAACGAAGACAGACTTTCAGATCTTGAAGACACTGGTGCAACTAGTGAAAACATAAGAAAAGATCTCTTAATAACAACTAGAATGCAGGAAAAAATAATTCATCACTTGCAAGACGATGCAAAGATGAACAATGTGAGACTAATAGGCATCAATGAGAAAGAAGGAATCAATACATATGACATTAGAAAAAATATGGGCAGAAGAAATAGCAGAAAAGTTCCCAAATATGAGGAAACAATCTGACATTCAGGTAACCGAAACATACAGAGTGCAAAGTAACCTCAACCCACTTAAAAACATACCGAAACATGTAATAGTCAAGATACCAGAAATTCAGCTCAAGAATAATATTCTGGAAGCTGCTAGAGAAAAGAAGCAGATCACATTCAAAGGAAAACCCATCAGAATTACAGCTGACTTCTCTTCACAAACCATGAAGGCAAGAAGAGCATGGAGCAGAGCACTTCAAGTCCTCTACAAAAACAAATTCCAGCCCTGACTA